AGCTTACAATACACCAAAGAACAATTTTTGCATGTTTGGATTTATATCATTTAGCGATTTAAATCCATAGTTGTAAAAGATTGTAAAAGTGGTGTATTATTTTATATGAACTTTTGTTCTATTAATAAAATGATTGGTCTTCTTTAGACATTATATGATAAAGGAATAGCTAGAAAAGTATGGTCTTCTTTTGTTCAAGTATCATATAATGTGACACGAAAAGTATCCCATCGGAAATCACTTATTCGAGCAAATAAAATTAAATGAGCGTCGGATAAGGATGTTTGGGTTATAATTTCTGGCTAGTGGACTGACCATCTGGTTTAGGAAAAATGTTCTGATAAGTTTTATTTTATCATTTTTAATGATAAAATAACGTAGAGTTAACTTAAGTTTATTTCGGAATTTCAAAATTCAAATTTTGAATTATCCAATCAGTAAGTTACCTGGTGAAGCGTATGCCACTTCAAATAGTTTAAAAATTGATAACCCACGAGCTCTCTTTCTTCCATATGTAACGTATGGATGTAAATGCACAATGATAGAACCGTTTGCATTTTAATGCTTCTCTTACCATCACTTGTATTTTGATAACGTACGTATGTGTATAACTAAGGAGAATGGGAGATTATATATTGAAATACTTACTCCACTTCATCTTACACACATAATTTTTCTACGAGTGATTAATATTCTGTCTTGGACGAGAGCTTTTGAATCCATAGTTTCTTCATAAAGTTATACTTTGTACTCCGTATCTATTTATTGAGTTAATTATCAAAATATGACTAAAAGTCATTCACTTTGCACAAATAGGACCAAAAAATAAACTATGTTTCTATAGGACCAATTATGTTTGTCTTGGACAAATATACCCTTATACCTATTGGAATGTTTTAATTCATAATAAAATAATTAAAAATAATAAAAATTCGTAAAATATACCAAAAAATTAACAAAAATATTCTAAATAATAATAAATTTTAAAAAAAAAATTTAAAAAAAATAAAAAAAAATAAAAATAAAATAAAAAAAATATTTTTTTTTCACCGCCGCCTATACCGCCCCAGCACCACCACCTCTAGTCATTTGGGGAAAAATGCCAAATTTATTATGAATTCCATATTTTTGGCATAATTCAGAATGATTTAAGATGGAAGAAAAAAATGTTGGCATTCTCAAAGAGAAATATGCCATATTTTTGGCATTTTCCGAAAAAAATGGAAGTTTGTAGGAAATATGACATTTTTTTTAACGGTCGGAGGTGGTGGTGCAGGGAGGCGGTACCACCACCTCCTGTCACCGGGGTAAAAAAAATGCCAAAAAAATTATGAATGCCATATTTTTGGCAAAAGTCAACAGGATTCAAGTTGGCAGAATGAAAATGTTGGCATTCTCATAGAGAAATATGCCATTTTTGTGGAATTTAAAAAAAAAAGTGGAATTTTTTACACCGATCGGAGGTGGTGGTTCAGGGAGGTAGTACAGGCGGTGGGAAACATATCCATATTTTTTTTAATTTTTTTTATGGAGTTTTACTATTTTTTTATTAATTTTTTAGGAAATTTTTTTTTTTTTCTTATTTTTTATTTTATTAAAATTTTATTAATTTTTTTATTATTTTTCTACGAATTATTGAATTTTTTTCGAATTTATTATGAATTAAACATTTAATTATGACTTTTAGCTATCTTTTACTAATATTTAAAGGAGGGGTAAGAATGGAAGGAAGAAATGAGTATGTTTCCAATAGGACCACTATGGTCCTATTTTAAAAAAAAAAACATAGCAAGTCCTATTTTGAGTTTTTGCCATAGTTTTAGTCCTATTTGAAGTAATTTCTATAGTTTCTTCATAAAGTTATACTTTGTACTCCGTATCTATTTAACGAGTCGACGGCATATTGGGCAACGGTCGAAGGTTTCAGTCAAGGTAGCTACGAGTCTGAAACGAGGTAGGATTATCCTCGGAGCGAGCTAGCCAGACCCGTCCGAATAGCTATCGGGATACAGGGGCTATCTTTCTTCAAGGCCAGTCCGTTTTAACGGGTGATCCTGCGATAAGTTTTCTTATCCTTACTTGTTATTCATTTTATTTTATTCTAATTATTATTATTATTATTATTTCCTTTTCTTGCATTTGGCGGTTTGTCTGGTGATTTGTTGAAACTCGGGATTTTTATCTGGTTAAACTCCAATTTTAATATTATTTTTCTAACACAAAACCCTCAAATACTTCCTGAAATAATTTTAAATTGGAATTAAACCCAACATTTTGTGGCGCCCAAAATCCAAGCATACTTAGAAATTATAATTCAGTACACACATCATAAACAAATGAATTCATATTCATACCGTGACGGCATCCCACATGTGGTTTTTCTTGTCTTCATCGATATTTGCCCATTCGGTCACTGTTAATGGACAAATTTGACAATTGCGAATTATATTTCCTAAATGCCTCAAAAATGATTTATGATTTTCTCCAGCAACCCGATTGTCATAAAATCTGACTTTGAGTTTTCCCCCCCTTTTTAAATTGGCCACTTCTTTACATTTATTTATTCCTCTTACCTTCTTTGTTTTATTTTTGTCAAGTGAACCTGTAAACAAATATTACATGCACACAAACACACACACACACATATATCATATGAGGATAACAACAAACTATAATAATAAGAAATCATTGTTTTAGGTCATTACCTTTAACCTTTTCATTAGACAATAATGTATAGTATTATGCATAACATGAGCTTCTTTTGGCATATCATTAGGCTTATTCAATGATTGATTAGCTGTAATGGTTAAGACAAAAAAGTGAAAAATAAACTTAAAAGAAAGACATAATAAACAAAATTGACATTTGCAAAATAAAAATTAGTATTACTAAGCTCAGTGTTATGTTGTGGCAACTTATAAGATAAAGGTTGAGCTGTGTCATCCTTGTATAGATTAATTTTAAGCTTTGAATAAAATCTTTTATATCAACCCTTGATCAAGGCCGCGGATGTAGCAACTAACTTGTGAAACAGGAATTTTAGAACAGCAGAGCATGCAGGAACCTTCGAGCTCGAGCTCATAACCATTTGCAGTGGGGTGCCTTCTTCTTCTCTGGAAGTCACTTCAAAGCAGAGCAAGAGATCGAAGACTTACTCTCTCTCTCACCTCAAGTGTCGATCACTTTTGCTTTGAGGGTGGGGGACTCATGATGGAGTATATTCCCATATACCCCAGGGGCATCATAATGGGGGGCCAAGACTTCCAGCCATGCGACAAAAACACTTAATCACAAAGCTTCAGCAGAGGCCGACCTCGATGCACAAGGTCGGAATTAATTAGACACCAAGCAGCGAACCAGTGGAATGTGAAACTTTTGCCGTGGCCGACCTCGACACACCGAGGTCGACGCGATCATCAATCTCACAGATCGCCAGGTATGACGAAATATGAGGCCGACCTCAAGCGCACCGGGGTCGGTACTAGGTCTGACCTGTGACTCAGATACGAGGTCTACCGAAGTCAACCGAGGTGAACGAAAGAATCACCGCTACCGGACAAAAGACCAGATATGAATTTTCCAATATAAGCTCACCCTCCCCGAGCTCTAACCTCGGAGAGCTCGGGGTCTCAGCAACTGAATGTGGAGTTAGACGTTTTAGGAAATCAAGTACTTCCTCCGTTCCTTTTTAATTGCAATAGTCAACATTTCACGTTTGCCAACGCACGAGTTTGACCATTAATATCTTTCAATCCTTATTAGTAAAAAAAATTAAAAAATTCATATTTTGAAAATTTAGAATGAGAAGAATTTAACAATATTTTTTAGAAATTAAATTCGTAATACATTAATAAATAAACTATAGTCAAAGTAGAATGTGTGAATAATGCAAAAAGTCCTATGTTGCGATTAAAAGAGAACGGAGGTAGTACTACGCAAGGCACCGCCACGTCACCAATACTATACAGAGTGCCATGTCAATTCAGGCAAAACCACCAAGGAATATTCTGGACGATACATGTGTAGCACACACGTGAGTTCTGGTATAAATCTATTATGCACAGTTTCAATCAGCCGGATGTCCCAATTATATCTCCAATCACATTGACTCATGTCACCGTATTATTAGATTCGTGTGTTTATCCTTTTAGGAAAGTGTGACACGCGTCCTCACCACAATAGAATATCATCTTTTTTACTTAGCTTTTTAGCCAAGTATTTCTTCTTAAGTATAAATATCATCTTCCAACATGTAGAAAGGGATCCGAAATTCTCTGTGAAAACTTGTTGTTATGCTGCTGAAATCTATGATCGTTCGTACTTGGCATTTTCCCCATTTTCTCTCTTATTCCTCGGATTCCGGCTACCCCCAGGGTTGGCGATCCATCAATTAACATTATATTACATATTAGTTACTTAAAGTATACTTTATAATTTATACATTTATTCTATTAGTAAAATTTTCATTAATATTAGTAACATTGACCCTATTACTTACATTCCCATTAATTAATATGCATTCATACATGTATCCTATTAGTTATATTTTCATTAATATTTGTTATACATTTATCATATTATTAATAGTAGTTACATTCTCATTTTGTTACATTCTAATTTTCTCAACTTGAAAATTTGTTACATTCACATTTTATATTATTTATTACAATCTCAAATTATATTATTCTCATTTTAGTTACACTAGAAATTCTTAAAAGTAGTTTATTTTAATTGTAATAGTATACTTGTTACATTATCATTTTAGCTACCTATATTTGTTAGATATTAATATATTCTAGTATTAAAGTTGTTAGATTAAAGTAGTTGCATTTAAATTGCATTTACTATTGTTGTCCCATTTTATTTAGGCTATTGAAATAGTTGCATTTTATTCTTAGTATTAAAGTTGTTAGAATAAAGTACTTCCATTTAAATATTAGTTTAATTTTAAATTTATTTTTTTTAGTCAGCAGGCAAAACACCTAATTTAGTGGTCAAACGCCGAGGAATATTTGCAAGGTTTTTATTGAAAATAATAAATAAAAATACAACGGAAAGGAGAATCAAACCAAACCTCCCCGGAAGAGGCATACCTCTTCGAAATACATAAATAATCGCAAATGAAGAGCGAATTGGGAGGGCTAGGCCTGACCCAATAATACAAATTGACTGATAAATCTAAAAGAAGGGAAATTAAATAAATCAACATAATAAGCATCATAACAGAAGAAGGTAAAGAACCAACAGATACAAATTTGAGGAATTGATCCGCGTGAAGATATGGTAAGTAATGGGCCAGCTCATTTCCTTCCCGTATCACATGACTAAACTAAATCTCCCTGTTGTCAGTCAAGAGACGGAAATCACGAATAAGGTCCATCCATTTTCTCGCCCTGTCGTCTCAAATGAGATCCAAGGTTGATGAAGAGTTGGATTCCACCTGAAACCCTGAATAACCTTCCTGAATCGCCCAGGTAGTAGCTGAAATGAAAGGTCGGGGTTCAGCTTTTATGCTCGACGTCGCAGATACAGGAAAGCTGATAGCAGCCAAAAGCTCTCCTATATCATTTTAAAGAATTGCCCCTCCCGATGAAACATAGGTATAACAACGCGTTAGTGTTCAATTTCAACTTACAATTCTTCTTCGGTCTTTGCCAACACATTGGAATAATTGGCTTGTAATGCATAAGAAAACTCTTCGGTCATTTTAAAGTCAAATTTTAGCTACATTTTTACATTAGATACATTTTCATATTAAAGTCACATTTTAGTTACATTTTTACATTAGATACGTTTTCATATTAAAGTCATGTTATAATATTAAAGTCACTTTTAGTTACATTTTTATATTAATTACATTTTAATTGTATTTGTTCTCACATTAACATATTTGTTAGAATTTAATATTTACATATTTAGTTGGACCGTGCATTTCATATTTATATGCTCCGCGTATAAAACCTTCTACATGATCGTATTTTAGATGATAACACAGAGTAGCAACAGAACACGTGCTAAAAAATAAACGCCAGTACATAAATATATGGACTAGTTTAATGAGTCATCCAAAAGAATGCATAAAAAAGAATCAGTTTATGAACCAATGAAGGTCTCGTCCCCAATCCAACCCATCAGTACAAAAAAGTCCAATTCAAGACCTAATATCACCGACAATCTGGAATTCAGCCCAGTAGTTCCCGCGGCACATACTTTAAACTTTAATTACTTAACTCTAAGTCCAAGACTCTAACAGGTATGAAAGCCAGCTAGATCTGCTGGCAGTAACCCAGCGTGGAACGAAGTGATCCATCAAGTGGTCTTCCTTGCCTTCATTACACGTAACACAGGGAATTCAATTCAGAGTAGTATGATATTGATGTGTAAAAAGCATGCATACGACTATTGAAATATTACAATATAAATTATAAGTGAAATATCCGACCTAAGCTTTAAATATACCTATAAATCTTCAGGCGGGCCTTCACAGTGGGACTGCTCAACCTCTCCTCCATTTGCACCATCTATTGGTCGAATTGTGCTCTCCTCTCTCAACAAACAATCTGCAACACAATAAGGACTCGCACATTAATTATAGAGAATTAAAATTATAGTTCTTGCAAAACTCACCTACTCTAAATTACCTGCTTCAAATGCATTGCACTTCTTATTAAGGTAACACATGTAGGAAATGAAGCCTACAAGGTTTACTATTTCAATTAGTGCAAGGATCCACCAATAATATTCATAATAAACGCCTTCCTTATTAAGCAAAAATTCTCCCCCAGTCATGTGGTTCACTATTTTGCCAAGCAAAATATTCAATTGTCTTTTGGTATCCATTCTGGCTCTGAACAGGGAGAGCTCCATCTGATTCATGTTTTCAGATAGATGAGAATTAAAAAACTCTATATACCCAACGTTGTAGAGCAGCTTTCCAGCCGCACCATATTGTGGCAATAGGCACATTACAGACATTTGGTTTTGGTGCTCCTTTGTCAAATCTTTTTTTTCAGCAACATATGCGAAACATCCTACAACAAATGCTGCCATAAGTTCAATGATATGCCAAGTCCAATTTTCTGTTCAATAGGGGATATGAACATGATTTATTCTCTTATGTGAACCAATATAATCGTACATGGTCATCAGAATTAAAACCTAAAGCAACAAGTGTTGTGATACCGATGAACTCTTGTTTTTGAGAAAACTTTATCAAACATTTTGTTGCATAGGGATTTAGTTCAACATGAGATAGTTTTGCCCTATTATTTTCTTCGGTAGGAGTTTTTGAAGACTTTCTACTCGGTATTATTAAGAATTTTAACATTCTTAACCAAAAAAATTATCCAACAATAAATTCATATTTTAATTAGCCTTGATTTGTATGTAATCACTACATTCAATGTTAAATTAATACTACGTAAAACAATTTAGCTAAGAAAATAAGAACACATTACACTTGCAATAATAAAATTAATTTAAGGCATACTGGCTATGGCATCCAAATTCCAAATCCCAATCTACTTAATAAAATAGACCGGTTGACCCACTTCAACAAAACAACAAATAAAGAATAAACGCCACAAGCCCAAAAAATAAAAGGAAAAAAGATAAATTACCTCTTATGGCTTTCAGAATGAAGTCAAATGCGCAGTAGGCAGGACGATTCAAACCACGAAAACCAAAGTGTTGATTCTGAGCAAACCCTGCAACCTCCATGCTGATTCTGGGCAAAACCAGATGGGTTTGTCTTGTTGGGGAGATATATCTCTGGATCTAATTGATAAAGGTAGTTCTTATTTATGAATGGAGGCCGGAGAGTGAAAGTGGGAAATGAATATATGTGGCAGGGTTTCGGTGGGCGATTTGGTTTGGCCGGTGAGGTAGGATGGGAAGGACCGAAGGCAGAGGTGGAAGTGGAACTATTAAGTGATCTGGAGGGGCTTGTTATATAGCCCTGCGGGACTATGGTTCTTTTTGTTATATATACAGAGTATGAGTATATGTATACATATCCAGCCATGGCCCCTGCTTGGGTTAATTATTTACTCCGTAATACAAGTATATATGAGGAGTTTAAAAGTGATTTGCTTTTACTAGGTAAAATGGCTAGTCCTTCCTTGCTAAGTGAAATGGCTGGGCCCGTTGACGCTGGCGGCTCCCTTTTACCTAAGAACACGTTTAATTCACGGGTTACTAAACGGTGTTTATTAAGATCTGTTTTAATAAGCGGCGCATAAAATAAGCAATGTTGTAAGATCATGTTTACTTCAAACGGTTTCAGACACCGTTTAACATTAAAATGTTCAAAATAACTATATTCACATATATAGACACAAACATTCATGTTAAGGTTTGAGGTTTCATCCTAAAAGGTTAACCCGTTAGTAGAAGTAGCTAGGAGGATCTTAATATAGCGCGCGTTTAAATCTTTCAGAGATGTCCGGTGTGGAACTTTAAAAATTCATAAACACAATTATATAATATAGTATGTGGGGTCACTCCTACGTGTTTTATTAGGAACCATCCAATGATTACCATATGTTCTTGAGTTTTCACACCTTCATATCATGTTGTAATAAAAGGTGTAAAACACTTACAGTCGTATATTGTGTATACTAAGCGGCTAAGGGGAAAAGAAAGAATTCTACTGCCTACTTCCCGTTAAGATTGTCCCATTTTACATTTTCGGTCCGTCTCACTAAGATTGTCACATACCAAATTTGGGTAAAATTTGTGTGGCTCTAAATCATTCTTACTTTATTTCTTACTTTATCAATTCAATATCAACCACATGATCATTTTTTTTTAATTTGTGTGACACTCCCTCTTGTCCCATTGTTAGCGTGAGGAAGGGAGTATTATTCTACGAGTATATCGTAAGGGGAAAAAATGATGAGATCCAGAGAATGAGTGGACTTTAAAAAGAGATAATGGGTCAAGAGGTTAACAAAATTGAATGTGAACACACTTACACACCCACCACAATTCCACAAATAACAAGAAAGTTACCGGTGGGCGTAGCTCAACTGGTAGCAAGAGAGTGCCACAATGGTTAGGTCTCGTGCTCAAATCCCGGCAACTGCGATGAGAGGTTACTATGCTAAAAATGCATAGGACCTCTGCAAGTACCGGAGACGGAGCCCCACTCTCTATCTGTCAGATTGTGATTATAGTCCAATTTACATCCTCTCATCGTGCCGTTCGGTCGGTGCATGTCGGGGGGCCTCGGTCCGGGATGGGTGTCATCCTCTTTTTTTACAAATAACAAGAAAGTTAAAATATACGGAGTGAGGTTAGTACGTGCACCTCTTTGGCTCTTTTGTATTCCATTCTTTTTAGTGATAGTCACGGACTAATGGACTATATCTAAAGCTTGATACAAAGACCAACGGATGTGGTAGCAGGGTCGGTCCTCCCCATTTCTCTTCCTATGTGTGAGATGTAATATATTATTGGACGAAAAATTCTTGGTGTACACGTTCTTATGCACATCAGTACACCTCCGTATCTGTGAGAAGTTTTGTTTGTCTGTGAATCCCAGTTCATAGACAAAACGTAGACAAAACAAGTCGGTTCTGTCTGTGAACTAGGATTCACAGACAAAAAAACCTTTCACAGACATAAAGGTGTACTGATGTGTATAAGAACGTGTACACCAAGAATTTTTCTTATTGCACTTATAAACAAAATAAATCATAAACTATACGTGTTATTAAAAATATGAATTATAACAAAAAATACTTAGTAGAGGTCATAAAATAAAGGTCAAAATCACTTTACTATTATTTCAATTACATATTTGGGCAAACGTAACAATACAAGTATTACATTAAAATAAAAAAAATATTACTTAAAATGTTTCTCGTAGAAAAATGTGAAGCAAAATCATAAATACTCATTTAAAAAGAATAAAAAGCATTAAAAGCTAAATAAATGTGAAAACTGAAGAGACGTACTCCCTCCATCCCAATTTATTTAGTCAAACTTGTTTTTTCAAGTCAATGGTACCTAACTTTGACTGATTATATATCTATATATAAAAAATATTAATAATATAAAAATTATATAGAAATGTTCTTTGTTGAAAATACTATTATAAAAGTATAAAATTATTAATTTTTCATATATATATTAGTTAAAATAATTGGTCAAAGTGTACCACCTTTGACCGAAAAAGTCAAGATTGACTAACTAAATTGGGACGGAGGTAGTATCTTTTATCGATTCACTACGTTGCTTTAAAAACTATAACTAGACCTACTTAAAAATATATTGATTCTAGACTAGGGTTTGTTTGCAAATGCATTTGCTTAAAAAAGATCACTTTTTGAAGTGGTTTTGGAAAAAGTAATTAGTAGTAAAAGTTGATAGTGTTTGAGAAAAAAGTGATTTTGAAAAGTAAAAGTTAGTAGTGTTTGGTAAAATAAGTGTTTTTTGTGTAATAGAAAAAGTAAAAACCACTTTTTACACAAAAGCCGAGAAGCATTTTTTTAAATAGAAATTGTCACTTGAAAACACTAATTTTAGTTTTTTTAAACGAAAAGTCGTGAAGTGCTTTTGTAAGCTATTGAAAACACTCCCTTAATTCGTCCTTTGAGAGTTTACCTGAGCCGTGTGCCCGTGGGGTGTGTAGGTGTGTATTTCACTTTTTTAGTAGAGTAATCAACTTATTTCTTTTTCATCCAAAACACATTGCCAAACATAAAAGGAATTAAATGAAAAAGGGTCAAATAAGTCCTATTATTTCCAATCTGTCACTTAAGCCCCCGTACTAAACAAAGTATCATATAAGTACGTTTACTTTTAAAATACAATCAAACAATCCCTTTGATAGCAGGTTATTTAAAAAAAAATAGGAATATTGATAAATCTTAAAAAATTTCATATAATTTTGAATAAATAATTTAATAATAATATAAAAAGTAGTATAAATATAAAAATAGATAAATTTTTAAAAACAATAAAGTAAAAAAATAAAAATCATAAAACTGAAAAAATAATGTGAAAATGAAAAATGAAAAAATAAAAGTTTAAAAATGTTTTAAATAGATGTAGAATATACATTTCTTTAAATTAAAAATGTTGACTTGATATGTTGAAAAGTTTTCACAATTTTGTATATATTTCTTCAAAAAAAATTAGAACTTTTAAGTATTAAAAACCTGCTATTACGGGTCAAAAGTTGATTAAATACTCAAATTGATCCACTTTGTGTAGTCGTACTTATATGATACTTTTGTTAGTACTGGTGCTTAAGTGACGGCTTGGAAATAATACACAGGCTTATTTGCACCTTTTCCCGGAATTAAATACTCCTTCCGTCCCAAATAGTTTTGCAAAGTCAAAATTTTTTTGTCAACCAATAATAAAAGTCAATCCTCCGCATCGATAATTAACTCAATTTTTTGTAATTAAAATTTACATATTCAGAAACTACATCAAAATCTCTTCAAAGTTATAAACTCCAAATTAAAATATAATTATAAATTGACCTCATAATTAAACAAAAAATATGAAACTGTTTGACCAAGAAAAGTCAAATTTCCAAATCAATTTGAAACAAAGGTAATAGTACATATATGGTTACCACTTACCATGCATCATTGGCCATGTTTTTTGTAAAGCAAAACCTAATACTCAGTATGTTTATTCAGCTCAAATGCTCACGGTATCACGGTTAGGATGTTTTCTTTTGGACTGAAATTTGCTGGTCTGGTCTAGTCTGGTCTGGTCTGTTTAAGTCTGGTCTGGTCTGGTCTGGTAAACGTCTGGTCTCTGTGTATTTTATAACTATCCAAGTCTGGTCTGGTCTGGTCTGGTCTGTTTAAGTGTGGTCTGGTCTGATCTGTTTAAGTCTGGTCTGGTCTGATCTGGTCTGGTCTGGTATGGGACTGAAAATAGTCCAAAAGAAAACATCCTTAGAAGCAGAAGGTTGCAATTAATGACTTGCGCGTACGGAGTATATATTAATTGACGTACATCTCATAAATAAGGAAGGGGTCGGGTGTTAAAGATTGAAAAAGGATTACGCCCAGAAAAAGCAGTTTGTATACCGTGGTATCACCCCATGGTGAGCACAGTGCTCTCACACCCAAAATGACGTAGTTTCGCACAATTTTTTAAAACAATTTGCATGAACAGTAACGTGTGATCAATGACTTTTTTGTCTCGGTAACATGAATTATGTAAATCGCGTGTAAATTAATGTTACTCACGTTATTGATCGATATAACTCAAGTCCAGTCGAAATGTAACTCTTCAAATACATAGTATAAGAAATAAAAACATTGATTTCAATGTTAACAATGAAAAAAGAGTCTAATTACTCGATTACTTTGCATAAATAGTGAATATGTTTTGTTTTTAATATCTGGGACATAAAGGTTATTTGAAAAAAAAATCTTTTTTTATTGTTTCAATAGCAGAGGTTATTTGTGATGTAACTCGTGTTAGGCTAAATGTAACTCGTGTTGATAGAAAATGTAACTTATGTGTATGCAAAATGTAACTTGCTAAGGCAAGTCCAAATGCAACTCGTGTATAAGAAAAATGTAACTTCACTTACACTGATGTAACTCGTAAATAAAATGATATAACTTGCACATGAAATGATGTAACTCACATGTAAAAAGATGTAAATGATCTGATATATATAACGTATGGCAATCAATGATAGTTTGAACCATTTAATTTCTTCATTATCTAAACAATTAAGAAAAATCCTTTAATAGCTTCCACACACACTCCAAAACGTCTTACTGGTTCAAAAACGAGTTGGTATACCGTGGTATCACCGCACGGTGAGCATTGTGCTCCCATACCTAAAACGATGGAGTTTCGCAAGAAAAAATGTAACTTGTCAAATACATGGTATAAGAAATAAAACATTGATTTCAATGTAAACAATTGAAAAAAGAGTCTAATTGCTCGAATACTTTACATAAATAGTGAATAT